ACACTTTCGACCAGGATTGGCTAAAAGTTTTACAACTGAGGTTTAACACGCCCAGACGCAGGTTAAAACGAAAACAGACTAGAAAAAGGTTTAGATACCAATCATAGATGGCAGAACCAGTGCTGAGGTGAAAGGAAATATCTTAAAAAAATTTTTGAAAAAACATTTCTTCTCAGAGGGCGCTTATTTACAGTCTAAAACGTATTTTAGGATTTTTTCATTAAATTCCTCTTTAAACTTCATTAAAGAATACAATTTTGTACAAATAATTGAATGTTATGCTACTATTTATAAAAATAAAATCAGAAATCCATTAAAAGATAAGTTCTCTATCATTTTTTCAATTCACAAATGCACACTTGCATTGCCTGCTAAGAAAGTTACTACCGGTAGTCATCGGGTTAAATTATAAATATATCCATTCATGTGAATATGACTGAAAAATTTCATTTTTTCTGAAAAGGTGATGTCTATTTACTTGTGACCATCATGTGTAGATGTTTCTTGCACCTTTTTCCAATGCATTTATATTCTCCTCTCCTTGGACTGATCTTTCCTCCCCCAGACTTCAATCGCTTGGGAGATTAACAGTAATTCTTTACTATCTCCTGTCCTTTTTTTGCCTGTTAGTCTGTTTGAACCAAAATTAGTGTCTATGTCCTGTTTTGTGTGTCTTATCATGGATTTCTCCCTTTCAAGGTCCCCACCCTGGGACTCCTCTTTTTCCAAGGACCTCTCCAAATCTACGATTACTGGATGGGTCCATCAACTGCTCCTGTTGGTATGTTTTTTTGGGGATCTGTATGAACACATACTGTCTCATATTTTTTCTCATTTGATTTTCACTTGTTTCATTCTCTTCCATTTCTTCTTTGCTGGCCCTAGGACAAGCTTCTCCAGGTGGGCATTTGGATAGTTTCCACATATTTTTCTCCTCTACACCTTCTGGCTGTTTTATCTTCTGAAAGATTATCAGCTTACACCTGTTGACATTCTTCAATCATCCCACTTTTTTTGAGAAAAATATGAACCATGTCTCTTTCAGAGTGCCTTTTTCATTTCAGTAGATCCCACCATGTGGTTCCTGTTACTTCCAAGGTTATACTTACTTAAAATTACATTGAGGTAGGATAATGGAAAGTGCTCATATCATCCACCCTAGCTCCACCTGTGCCCATTGTGAAATGGGGTGTCCTGAAAGACCACTTGAGGTATCCTTGTGGCTTGCACTTGCTGTCTTTTAAAAAATAGGGTTTTGTTGTCACTCATTGTACTGTCATCAGTGAAAATCTTTTCCGACTGGAGGCTCCGATGAGAATCTGGAAATTCTCTGGGACTCCTCAATGCAGATTCTTCCCCCTTTCATCAAGTGGAGCAAGGGAGACTCTTGCCACCTACCATTTTATAGCCACTGAGGTTGTGGACCATGGAGAATCCTTACCAGTTGGATTCAACTGCTGGGGCCATTCAAAGGAGTTGCAATATGTTGAGAAGTAGGGTGGTGGTGACACTGTCATTGTTGTTCAGGTCACCCCTCTAATACATAATGCATATCACTTGTACCCTCCTTCTGCAGCCTGAGACAGTAGATTCCAAGAGAATACACACACTACATATGAAACCATACTGCATAATACATAACCTTCCTCCTGCAGCTGTTCCATAGAGTTGAGGTGAGCACTCACTTTACAATACCATACAGCCAGTGTCTGTTCAGCAGAGTCAAGATGAGTGCACACTTTATCAATCCATACTGCATAACTATGGTGTTCTCCTTTTGCAGCTGAAGTATGTTCTGTAGAGTCTGACAGTAGAGTTCAGGCAAGCACACAAAACGAAACCATACTGTATCACTAATGTGCCCTCCTACTGCAGCTGGAGTCTGTCCCCTAGAGTCTGACAGTAGAGATGAGGTGTGCACACGTACTATAGAAATCTATACTGTATCACTGATGTGCCCTCCTCCTGTAGCTGGAGTCAGACAGTAGAGTTGAGGTGAGCACATGAGGTATGGTCAGAATGCACCCAAACCACACTGCACATGTTGGCTATCCAACTGCATGTGTGCAACGACTCAGATGGTAATGTTCTCGTTTCGCCCATCCCTGTGACACACAGGGCTCATTTGCTTCTTCCCCCTTTCCTTTCTGAGTGACAAGTATACTCTGGTCAAGGTGAGATGAGGTCTTCCACGGGTGTGCCCATATGAAGCCCCTGCCATTAAGTGTCATAGGTTTCCTTTCTGAAAGGAGGTCATCTAGGTAAAATTTGGACTAGCTCCTCCACCAATTCAACTTGGGATTCTTTTGAAACTGTATGTGAAGGTGAGTTATCATCTTGGAAGGTAATGTTTTCCTTATCTGAAAATGTATTTCCAATAGATACTCACCTCTTTACACATTTCTGCCCATCCTCCCCACTTCTGGTTCACATTTTTTTTACCATGAGTGCATTACATAAAGGGAGTTATTGCACTTGTGGGTGCGTTGCTTTCCTATTGATGAAGGGCTTTTGTTGCATGATAATGTCATCATGCACTTGTGCATTTCATATTAAATTGCATGAAATTAAGGAAGAATTGCTTCTAGAGTTGTAGAATTCAAATCTTTTAGGCAGACACACAAAGAATATAGCTAAACTGCCTGTGGAGGTGAGTATTATTGAAAATACATTTTCAGGTAAGAAAAATGGTAACTTTAAGTTGATCACTAATCCAATTTTATGATGATTTGGATTTCTTTAGGGAAACATGAATTAGTTAATTTACACATTTCTAATTGTAGGTGCTGTAAACATTGATACTAGATTCATTCATCCAATTTTTTTACTGTAAGTACTGCTGAACATATGTAAACATTGATACTAGATTCATTCATCCAGTTTTTCTACTGTAAGTACTGCTGAACATCTGTAAGCATTGATACTAGATTCATTCGTCTAGTTTTTCTACTGTAAGTACTGCTGAACATCTGTAAGCATTGATACTAGATTCATTCGTCCAGTTTTCCTACTGTAAGTACTACTGAACATCTGTAAGCATTGATACTAGATTCATTCGTCCAGTTTTTCTACTGTAAGTACTGCTGAACATCTGTAAGCATTGATACTAGATTCATTTGTCCAGTTTTTTTAATGTAAGTACTGCTGAACATCTTAACTGTTCATTTGGATATGATGTATTTTGCCATGAGGAGTAAACCTGTCATGTATTATATTCATGAATGTTTGTCTAATCGCTAGGGGAAGTGTTTTGCTCTTGGGAACTATACTCATCTACTGAACAGTGGTATAGATTTTGTATCCGTAATGGAAATGGACGAAGAGGATCCAAAAAGAGATTCCTTAAAGGCCAACCATATTACGATTGAGCAGAGTTTGTCCATTAGTCCTATTGACACTTTTATAGCCCAGAAGAAATCACCCACAGTTACACGAGACCCTGAGGTAGTATCCTCCAGTTCAATTTCTAGTTGGCTAGCTGAAGAGATGAAGATCTCAGGAGTTGAGGACATATACTGCTCAGGAAGTGTTGGTGATAACAATTCAAGAAGACATTCTTTGTGGGATACAGTTTCAGCCAGTCATTCTGCTCAACATATGGTGCCAACATCTCAGGGTGCCTTATGTGAATCCAATTTATCACTGGCTTCAACAGTGGAAGATGACCCACACCCAGTAAGTAAGCTGTATTTTCAAATATATGTACAAAACAATTCATATATATTTTTTATTGTTTTTATTTATTATAAATCTCATTAATTTGTTCTTTTTGCTTTTATGATCTCAAGATATAACTAGCTTTTTTTTTTACTTACCACATACATACTTATGATGATAATAATTAACATATTAATATGAGTCTTAAAAGATTAAAAAATATATATTGAAGTATTGTTATCAATATTCATAGAATCAAAATGAAAGTTTGCATCAAATTAACTCTTCACATTTACAAACTAGATTTATGAAAAATGCTCTTCAGTTAATTAATTTTTTTCTGCTTATTTACCTATCTTTTATTGTGGTGTTGTAAGATTAGTTAAAAGCATGTAATAAGAATTTGCAGCATAATTTTTTTTATATATATCTTTACATATGTACTATGGTTCAAATCACAATATTTTATACTTCTTTTTATTTTCACAGGGAAAGTTAATATAAACAAATTCTTAAAGTTAAGAAAGTTTCACAGATAAGACAGCTTTTCTTTGTGAGGTTCAAAATGAAATTTGGTTGTTCTTTGGATAAGGAAAGCTTCTATAGAAGTACATTTAAGTTTAAAGTAAGAGGTTAATATGACTATTAAACCTCACAAAAATCTAATTATAACTTGAAAAGAAAAAGTTGGGTTTTTGAATTTTTTTATCAAAAAGCTATCAAGAAATTGAAATTATTAGAAAACAATGTACTTGAGTTTTTAACTATAAACCTACCAAAACTTAAATATAAAATTACCACTGAGTTACTTCACAATGGTAACAGAAGGCTTAATGGCAAAACATTGTATCATGCTATTAGGCTCAAGTTTTATAAAGCATATTAAGTGAGAATGAATAATATGTAGAGTCTTTTTAAAATGGATTATTTCAGTGTTTTCAGAATGTTATCTGGTATACTCTTGTTGTCTATTATTGATATAGGTACTGCCTATAAATAAAGAAGCTAGAAAAATGTCAACATACGTCAGATTACTATAAACTTTTATCTGCCAAATATTTTGTGTACAACAATGAGCTGTAACTGATAATTTTAGTCACATTTACTTAGTTTCTGGTAGCCTTGTGATTGATTACATTTGAATTGATTTGATTAGATATTTGCAGATGAAATGAGTCTGCTTTAGTTTGTAAGGTCTTGAGTATTTTACGTGCTTGATTAGGCATGTAACTTTTTTAATGTTCCTGTCTGAAGTTTATACATACTTTTGGCATATCAGAGAATATAATAAATGAGTACTGCAGTATGCACCATTTGTTATGTCACACTATTTTTATATTTTTCTTCATTTACATTCTGAAAATATAAGTTGATAGATATATTTAGTCATATTATTGTTTACAAAGAGTTTACTGGTGCTTTCAAGAATCCTAATGTTTAGATTTATTATGCACTTGAAACTATAGATGCTCTCAGAAAGAAGTAATGGGAAAGACTATCCTAAACAAGAAGAAGAATTACGGTCAACTGGCTCTGTAAAAGGAGCAGTTTATTGGTACTATATCAAGACAGGAGCAGGATGGTTTCTTATACCACTGCTAATAATAAGTTCCATAGGAGCACAAGCACTTTTTAGTGGAAGTGACTTCTGGCTTGCTTTATGGTAAGATATATTAAGCCACCTTTGGTTTTTATTTTATGATAAATGATATACAGAATGATTATATAAAATTGTTATAATTTCAAAGGTTTCAAAATTGATTGGTACTTTTACTCCTCTATTATTTATGTAGGTACTGGCTACAAATGAAGAAGTCCCAAAAAAAAATCACCAAATTTCTTTTAATGTTTCCTTACAAAGGATCTTTTGATTTATCAGAAATAAAAGCAAAAAACAGAAAGTTATTTATAATATTTCTGATATCAGCCTCACTTGAGCACTTATTTAGTCCTTCAGAGTACACTTGCTTTATTTTGATGGTGTTTACAAATATGGTGAAGACAAGGGATATATTTTCTAATTTTTCCAGCCTTCAAAACATAAAGACAAGTTCTTATGATTACTGAAATAGTAATTACAGTTTATTTAAGTTTATTACCAAGTATTACTAATCAAGTTTTAAGGTAATTTCATGTTTTATCATAACCACAGATCCCAGAAGTATTACTGAGACCCCGAAATAAATGTCACAAATTTGCCCAATCTACTGTGGTCTTATCCATTTGATAATATGCTTATGGAATAAAATGCATGTACGAATAACATTTTTATGAAATTTGATTTAACCTATGGCCACAATATGATTAAGCAGTCTACAGATAAATTCCAAATATTTGAAGTTTATAATTAGATTATATGTAATTCTGTAGTATAAATTTATTTTTAAATTAGATGTGTATTTAAAATTATTACCTGTTGGATACCTCAGAAAAATAATATTGTACATTCTAACTACTTTTAAATTGAAAGTCCTGTAAGTTTTATTATGGAAAGTTTGAATTTTGTACAGAATGTACAAAAAACTGTCACAGAATGTCCTTTTGTCTTTCTCAATCAGCATATAAAGCCTATATCTAAATGAAACTTTTCAAGTATTGTGCTTTTAAAAGTGTATGTTTTTCAGAAAAGGATTTAGATATACAATGTAAGATGGTTTTCAAACATCTTGTACCATATTCACATTTTCCTGAACAAAACTTGCAATTCTCAGTATACTTTGGGTGAAATTTTGTTCCCCATAGAACATGTTTAAAGCTATAGTTATTTTATATATGGGGTTTTCTTTGTAACTGTCTAGACAAACAATAAATATATAGTTTAAACTTTTCAAGGACAAAAGAAAATTATTTTCCATCATAAATAGCTATGCGATATTTCTTGATCGTAACAGGAGCTATAATAAACTTTTATGAGTGAGATATAATAAATGTAGTATCAGCTGATTTGTCAATGAAAACAGCAAAACCATGAAAAAATGTATCATAAGTCCAAAATATTGATTTCAAATAAATGATTTGATAGCAGATTAACCTTTAAACATGCATGCTACAAACAAGGGCTAATAAATTCAGTTTTAATCTTATCTGAAATACAGAATAACTGTCAGGTGTTGAGTGTATATCAAATTTAATTAAAGATAATCATTCTAACTATATTTTCGCAATGTTTTACTCAAAAATTGTTTAGTTGTTAGTTTATCATTTTGTAACATTTGTGTAAAGAAATTCCTAAATAAAAACGAAAATAGAGTTCCAATTTTAATTTCTGTATACTCTGAGAAGTCTTTCTTGCATATAAATATATATGTATATAACATATTTATTGATTCTTTTTAAGATTATTTTGGCCATCCTAAAGAATAGGTTTATATTTGCTATTAAGACAGTGTCATCTCTCGAGGATATACTTGTTTTTGTATTATTTCTCACATGATTTTTCCTTCTCTTTTAGTGGTTTTATTACTACATTTCTCTGGTTCTACCCTTTCATCATGTCTCAATATGTAGTTTTAACAATTACTAACAAAGTGTAGCTTTTAAAATAGCTACAGACAACATTTATATATGATTGGTTAAAACGGATTATAAACTACTTTCATCAGTGTAGAGCTAATGAGTTTGTGCAGAAATTTTAATTTTGTGGGAAAGGGACTAGCTGGAGCTCCAGTAGGGATGACTCAAATTTTCATTTATTGTGTATTATTGTTAATTTTATAGTACAAGCAATGCACACAAATAAACAAACTTGTTATATATTGTTGGAAAGAAACTGTTAGGTATACATTAATTTCATGACACTTTCTGAAAATTCAGTTTCCAGCTAACCCTTTAGTTCACTTTGTAGAGTATTTGCTTGTAGTTTGAGCAGCCAAGGTTTGATACCAGGACAATGAAGTAAAAAAGGAAATGGAATTAACACATAGAGTGAACTTTTCGGTTGGTAAAGAAAAGTTTGGAAAACTTCTTAGGATAAAAAACTTGTACTTGGTTTAATTCATTTGGCAATGAACAAAGCTTAAAAATGACTTGCTAAGACCAAGTAGTATTTAATAATAAGAATTGAGCTTTAGCTATTAGAATATGATCATAAAAGTTTGGATGTAGTACAGAATATACAAAAAACTGCCATAAAATATTCTTTTTTGTCATTCTCAATTAGCATATCAAACCTATTCCTAAGTGAAGCTTCTCAAGTGAAATACTTTTAACAGCGATCATTAATCATGCACACTCACATATATTTTACACTAGTCGTCAATCAGATATTATTCAAAAAGGGAAAAAAGAAGAAGAAAAATAGCAAACTTTTTAAATAAAAGATTTAGATATGCAATGTAAAATGGTTTTTAAACATCTTGTACCATATTCATAGTTTTGTGGACAAAACTAGGTTTATATATGATATCAAGACAGTGTCATTCCTTGAGGATATAATTATCTATGTATTGTTTCTTGCAGGAGTTTTCCTTCTCTTTTAGTGGTTTTATTACTACAGTTCTTTGGTACCACCCTTTTATTATGCCCCATTATGTAGTTTTAACAGATACTAAAAAAACATAGCTTCAAAATTATTTTCTTATCATAAGTAGTCAGAAATTCTGAAAAGAAATATTTAGTCAAGTATGAATGCCAAAATATCTTGAATAGTTTGAATACCTTTTCTCACGTGACAGAGAAAGAAAGGCTAAAACTATGTTCAAAAGATCTAAAACACATGTTAATCAGGTTTATAAAGGCAATAGGCTTGTTATGACCAAGTACTTTTTAATGATAACTGAGTTTTAACTATTAGAATATAATCACATGTTTCAGCCTTCAGAAGCATCAGTTTTTAGTAGTAACACACAGCTTAGAAAATTGATGGAGGTTTTTTCTGAGACTTTAGAAAAAGATGTTCCCTTCTGTACAGCACTTAATTTAGTTAGGATCTACAAACTAATTGTAAGTAGATGGTTGCACCACACTTACCTCAGAAATGTGCTAGTATTTTTGATTTGGTTGATGCCTTGCTAACTGCTTCATTTTTAATTCAAATTGGAAGTAGCTTAGGATGGAATCATTTTAACCTTATAAAAAACAAGAACATATAAATTTCTAAAAAAATATTGAATAGCATTGCTTTGCCTTACATGAAAAAAATATGTAATATTTATCTAGGTTGAACATTGCATCTTAGTTGTACATGAATATGAGCTTTGTGTAATTGTTTCTTTATGTGTAAAGCTTATTTACATATATATTTACACACACATCACTAAAGGAAAGTGGTATCTCCACACTGTTATGGAATTTCTTGTTTTGGAATAGATAATGCTGCAGTTGAAAAATGTGCCCAAATATGCACACTTGGGGATGTAAAGGGTGCATAGCTACAAGAAGAGTAACAGAAAAGATTGCAGATTTCCAACATTCTCAAAGATGGCTGTGATCACAGAAAAAATACAAATTTAAAAACCTCAGAGTTTAGGGAAATTCTCACTTTTGAAAAAAGTAAACCTTCAGTTTTCTCCATGAAAGTGAAAAAAAAACTGGCAAGCAATAGGTTCCAAAAATTAAGTCAATATGGAGTATGTCTCTAAAAAGTGAAAGCTATGAGTTCAAAAGAAAACCATCTGAACCAAAAAGTGTGCTGATGAAGCTGACAATACCTGGTACTGATGGCAAGATAATAAGCAAGATTTTGAGCCAAATGTTCATAAGCTTCTAGCCACATCTTTGAATCAACAGCTATTTTCATGAGAAAGGTGGCCAAAGAAACTGAACTTATAACAATCACATTCATCCACTAACCCATTAAGTTTCACAATGTAGCTCCAATGAATTTTTAGTTTTTTTTGTTTTTCCCAAACATTGTTCTTGAAACTAAATCCACATACAGTAGAAGGTCAGTGGAAAAGTTGTCAAGATATGTGGCCTAAGATAACCTCACCAAAAACTTGTTTTTATTTATGATACAGTGGAACTCATCAGGTATTTCTGCTTAATCAGAGCTATCAAATTGAGCAGGATCAATAATTGATGTAGCAGTTCTAAGGATACACTGGACCTTACACATCATTCTTGTAAAGTACAATTAACCTTCAATTAGAAAAAGTTGATCTGAAACAATCTTGTATCAGTAGTATTGTCTTGTATAGGTAAACAAGTTTTTGTATAAAAACAAAATTGCATATTCTTACCTTTACATATGTTAGATATAGATTTTAATTTTTTAATATTTTTTCAACTAAAGACAGAATGCCAATAGCAAAATATAAAATGTTTATAAATTTTCATGCATTTGCTATTTGCAATGTTTGTCAGTCTTATTATAAGGTGACAGGGGACTTGTATTTCAAAATATCCAAATAAGAAGGCAAAAACAAACTCAAGTGTAGAGTAATATGCCTTACATGAATGTGATGTGCCATTAATTCTCTATTCATATGATTTCAAAATATTAGATAGTGTCAATCAATGTCAAGTTTAGTAAAGCTGACTCAGTTGTGAGTTTACTTTTAACAACACATACATTAACTTTACTAGGACAAATGGAGAAGAAGTAAGGAGACTTGCAATTGAAAGACACAATAGGACCAGCAGCAGTAGTACCACCAATAACACTACAGACCAATTATTTATTGACAATGAATTCATGGACATCTATACAAATATCTATATATATTCTGGAATGGTTGGTGGTCTGTTTATTTTGGCATTGCTTCGAACAACAATGTTTTTTATTATGTGTATGCGATCTTCAGTTGGATTACACAACAAGATGTTTGGCAGCATTGTCCGAGCCCCTATCTCTTTTTTTGACAATAATCCTGTAGGTGAGTATTGTGGTTTCATCTTGAGATCTAAATATACATCAACATCTTCCATCCTTAATCAGTTAAGGCAAAGGATAATTTGATTAGTTTGTGAATAACATCAAAATATAAAACTGGTACAAACCAATATATGAATGTTTTTATTTGTTTAGAACTTTAGTTTCTAGTATGATTTAATAACAGAAAGTTTAAGCTAATATTTTATATACTAATCTATCCTGTAAGGACTGGTAATGTCATCCACTCAAACAAGTAACATACTTTATCATCAAACAAATAGCTAAAATCTTAGAAAATCTGCTTGTGAACATTGGCAATGTAAGTGTGAATGAATGGCCAGACGGATAAATGTTTTCTCAATTATCAGGAAGAATTCTGAACCGATTTTCTAAAGACCTTGGAACCATTGATGATTTACTTCCTCCAACAGCTTTGGATATGACTTATGTAAGTGAATTATTATAATTAGCTTTAAATGTGTAGTCGTTTCTTTAACTATGTCTTAAGTTAATATTGATATGTTATAGTAAATTCTTTCTGTATGTTGTACAATTGTAGATCACTACGGTTAATTCTTTTGTTAGCATGTCATTGTAGTCTCTTGCTTTTGAAAAATGCACAAGGAATGTAAATAGCTTCTACCAAACAGTCTTCAAGGGCTGTTAGCAGGCTTATGCTGTTTCTCAATTATTTATTTACAAATAGCTGATTTTGTTGCCAATGTCATGGTAAATAATAGTATGACCTGAATTCAAAATTACTTATTTATTGGTAAAAATAAAAGTACCAGTAGTAGGCCCAAAACAGTAGGTGTCATGACAGAGTTAACAGGGGCTGTAAAACGTCCTTGCAAAACTCATTTTACAGGTGCTCTTGAGTATCAGTGTGATGACATCCATCAAATGTGAAGGACTGCATTGTAATAGTAATTTTCACAGATATATATTATTATGTATCAGCATTATAAAATTCCTAATGGACAAAATGATTATAACCCGAGCTCTTTCGAAAGGTGGACCTTTCTTCTTCAGGATCAAGCTTTCAAAAGTTATAGGATTTTTGTCATTTTGTATCAAGACTTCTTGAACATATGTGTTTTTCTTACATCATGAAATTCGTAAGGTAAATATTACACGTGCATTTTGCCCTATCATTAATCTACTAAGATGCATTTGTATGAACAGGATGATTATAAAATCTGTACCAGTATTTGGAACAGTCTGTAGTGTAAACATATTGGCAAAATATTTTGTACAGTTTTGTTTTGTATGCACAGGATAATTATAAAATCAGTACAAGCATTTGCAACTGTCTGTAGTGTAAACATACTGGCAAAATATTTTGTACAGTAATGTTTTTGTATGTACAGGATAATTATAAAGTCAGTACAAGCATTTGCAACAGTCTGTAGTGTAAACATACTGGCCAAATATTTTGTACAGTGTGCAGTGGTAGTACTATTAGGTGTTGCACATGGTTATATGCAAATTAGGCTGGTATGTAAATACAGCAGTGGTTGCACTTGCATTTATATTTCTTGAGTCCTTGGGGCCCAACCACTTAAGAAAGTGGAGTCCCATTATATTTTTATGTAAAGCATAAAAACCACAGAATTTTTATTTTGTCATTTATTTCTTATCAATTGTAGCAAAACTTGAATATTTACTACATTGTATGGGTTTGCTCATAATTTTTCCTTGTTTTTCCCCTTCACAAGGTCCTCCTTTTTGGGTAGTCAAGGTTCACACACACAGGGTATGAATGTCATGGAATTTTGTAAAAAAAATTTTTCAGTACTGAAAACATAAGAAAATCGATGATTTTGATCAGGAGGTCTTGGAAATACCCTTGAAAGTCAAACCCTCAACATTCCCACATCCCCTGTTTTTATTGATGACAAGTCATACCATTGTATTTATCTCACTTTCATGAAAAATAATCTCTTGAAAATGTGACTTGTAAAATGGGAAAAAGCAGACTTAGCAACATTGCTTTGAAATATGTACTTCTGTCTGCAAGTAAACAGGTGTCATGTGACTATTGTTACAATGATATTGTTAGTGTAAATTAAGCTCAAACCTCATTTGGCAAAAAAACTAGAATCATAAAACTATTGATAGGTTAAAGAACATGGATATTTTAGAACTTTCCTAATTTTTATCTTTAACATAAATGCTTCAAAACATAATTAACAACATTTCTAGCCTAAGAAGTGTGAACCTTTGATTGATTGTTATGTTAATGTATTGTGATTTATCTTGAGCAGCCACTCAGGTACAAGTTTACTTGTTGTCCTGTTGAAAAGTTAAAATAATATGTTTAATAAATATTATTTGGTTTTGGTTATATGCTAGAAGTTTTTTTTTCTTGCTCTGTCCAAAGCACGATATTTGGGAGAAAGATATACATACATAACAATATTATCTGATTTGACCTAGAATATTAATATGTTACGTCTCCGTTTGTTAATTAACTTTCTGTAACTTCGTTCTGACGAAATTTTAGCGACACAAGTCCTTACTTAATAAAACTGGTTTATTCTTTCTGAATATAACTTTACCGATAAACTTATTTGCAACAGTCGCTCTGTAACAAACGTTTTAACAACGAATGTTAACTTCAACAATACTTCTGACTGCAGTTCAATTACTCACTACCTACATACATTATCGCGTCACGCCGTGACTCTCTTATATATATATATATATATATATATAA